GAACATAAAAGGGAAAAAATGTGAGTACAGACACTGACTAATTTAACAAACTGTAGGGCGTGTAATGGAGAAGGTAATGATTTTAAATCACCCCAAACTACGTCCTGTTCTTTATCTCAGGGGCACGCTTGAGGACAACTCCACATCAGGAAGCAATCTTCATACTGGCGTCGCCAAAGGTGGGGGAAAAGGTGGAGGCAAAGGAGAACATGACAGAGGAGCAGGAAGTGATGCGGTGCACAGCGTTTGGGAAGGCCTTGTACGATCTGACCCACTCAGAGAGGGTAATGAATGATCTGACATTTGGACGGAGAGTGGGGCTTTATGAGCTGAGAGGGCACATTGGCTCCGGCAACTTCTCCCAGGTTAAACTGGGGATACACGACCTGACCAAAGGTGAGATTCTGGAATCTTTGTCCTTTTTTAACTCCCATTTTCACAGCATCAGTAAGCAGGTATGATGTGTGGCTGTATATACACACCTTTAGTTGTTGTGAGGGTGGAATGATTTGAATTTATTTGGTCACAAAGCAATAATGCAATAATAAAGGCCACGGTGGAATGATTTGATTTTATTTGGTCATAAAGCAATAATGCAATAATAAAGGCCACACCTCTTCATATCTCTTCCTGGAAAACATGAGTCAGGCTTGTAAACACTGCCAATAAACCAGGGTTGTGTTAGCTTACATATCAATTATATGCTTTTCTAATATGCCCCATCTTTAGAGCAGCAACTTCTTTAGTTTAAAGGATAAAGCCAGCAAAGTAAGTTCAGTCTGGGTCATTCCAGATTTCAGGATTTAATCAGAACAATAATCTCATCAGCCAGCCATCCTCTAATCCATACTGTTTGTCTTTAGCCTTCACAGCTGATGTAACATGGGAATGATGCTGACAAGCAGACATACTATAGGAATTAGTAAATGTTAATCAAAACATAAAGGAAGTAAGGATTAGCAATACTTCATGACATAAGGAAGATTAAATGATTTAATGGATGCAAACTTAGAATTTTCCTTGTTGCCTACTGTCTTTGCCCATGTCCATCTTCACCTGATAGAAAGAGTAGCGGTAAAAATCCTGGACAAGGTGCGTCTGGACAAGCATTCGCAAGTGCTTTTTGCCTCAGAGATCTCTTGCATGGAGAAGCTGGCCCACCCCAACATAGTGCGCCTGTATGAGGTGGTGGAGACGTTCAAGCGGCTGTACCTAATGATGGAGTATGCCGGTGGAGGAGAGCTGTTCTCCCGTATCAGCACCAGGGGGCGCATGTCAGACCCGGAGTGCAAGCTTGTGTTTTCACAAGTCCTCTCTGCAGTCAAACATATGGTAAGTCCACAGAAGCTTTTTGTTGTTGAATAGTGAGTCCAGGTACTAATAACACTTTAACATACAGCTTTTCATGCTTTGCATTTAAGAGCTGTGCAGGAGAACTGATTCATTTCCTAACTCCCCTGCAAGAAAACTGAATTTAAGTACAACGATGTCAAACATTTATCCTTTTTCTGTTTTTCCAGCATGATAATAATATTGTCCACAGGGACCTGAAGGCTGAGAATATCTTCTACACAAGCACTTACTGCATTAAGGTTGGTGACTTTGGTTTTAGCACATCTTGCTGCCCTGGTGATGTCCTTCATACGTTCTGTGGCTCTCCACCTTATGCAGCCCCGGAGCTGTTCAAAGAGAAGGGCTACATTGGTCAGCATGCAGATTTCTGGGCACTGGGCATTTTGCTTTACTTTATGGTGACTGCCACTATGCCATTCAAAGCCACCAACACAGGCAGGCTTAGGTGTTGCATCCTGCAGGGCTCTTATACCATTCCCTCCTATGTACCTGAGTCATGCCAGGTGATCATTAAAGGCCTCTTAAGGCCAGTGCCTGTTGATCGCCTCACTGCTGCACAGATCATAGCCAGCAGCTGGATGACAGGCATTGAGTATCCCCAGGCCTACCCCTCTTGTAGCCCAACACCCTCACATCTGGCTGAGCCCACCTACATCCTAAGCTCAGATGAACTAAATGTGAAGGCCGCACTGGAGGATCTTGGCATCACTAAGGTCCATCTCCTCAACAACAGCCAGAAACTGAGAAGCCCAGTTACTGGGACGTACAGGATTTTGCTACATCGCATTCAAAAGAGAAGGTCTGTGGAAGCTCTGGGCTACAGCCAGGCGTGCAACAGAGAGTCACAGAACAGGCTCCGATGGAGAGGAGGTTCAGGCGGCCTGCTAAACACACCCCACTCTGTTGTCTGTGTCATCATGTAGGTTGGTTTCTCAAAGAAATAGTTCAGCATTTTGGGAAATATGTTTATTTGACTTCTGTCCATAAGTCTCATGAGAAGAATTGATGCCAATCTTACTTCTCTGTGGAGCTGGAGCCAAGAGGTGGTTAGCGTAGCTTAGCATAACGACTAGAATCATAGGGAAGCAACCACCTTGGCATTGTCCAATGGTAAAATAAATAAATGTACCAGCACCTCCAAAGCTTAAAGCTCTCCGAAGACACATCTGACGGCGTCTGAACATGTCGGCTTCATGTCTGAATGAACATTCACGGTCACTTTTCCATAAAAGTCGTGACAGCAGTCTCACTTTGCCTCACTTTTCAGCACAGCACAATGATGTCTCAGTTTTCTTATTGACCTTCTATTCAAAGGGGGATGTGGACTTTATATCAGAAACCAGTTAAATTAGATCATTTTTCCTGGTAAATTGTGAATTTCTCTTATGTGTGTTGTTTATATGCACAATAATTTAAATTTATTAACTTGTAAATATATGTGTATATATACTGTATGTAAATGAAAATATTTTCATGTTGATTTCGGGAGATTTCTGGAAGTTTCTGTACGGTAAACTGAATTAACTTATCATGCACCAGAACAATGTTAATGATAAAGATTGGGTTTTTAAACAGCTATTCCCTTTATTCATGGTGGTGCAAAACATTCCTGTCAAATGTTAGCATAAGCCAAGCAGTTGTTTATGACTCTGCAAATACAGTCCACTGCTCATGGTGAAAGGAAGCTGTTCTAACAGTTTTTTGGGGTTTGATGGACAAAATATTATGGAAATAAATATAATGTCGTTTGCAAAGAACTTTCAAGTGTGAAATGTTTTATGACTGCCTTCATGTTTCTTACTTTGCTGCCCTTTCTAAACTCACAGAGACCATGACCTGTCAATCTTTAGCGCCAGACCTGCACAGACTTCTGTTAACATGAATTTCAAAATTTTTTTTGTAATGAAGCTGGCAGACATACAGCAACAAGTCTGTGCTGTGACCCTTATTCCTTGTATTTTTGATTTTAAGCTTCCTGTAGCATTTTACAACCTCATTATCTCTGCTTTCTGATTTATATGTGCTCAAACATTGCATTTTCTGTAAATAATCATGTTTGTTTCAGTGTAACTGTATTTTTCCACACACTGTTTTCCAGTGTCACACTTTTATTTCTAGTTTTTCTCCCCTAAAAAAAGAAAACTAACATTTCTGCTGATAATGTCAACCAGCCAATTCATCTTGCCCGAGCTTGCAAACGTGAAGAGCAGCACATTTGTCAGCAGTGTTGTGGTATAAACAAGAAGAAACGAAACCTCAGCACTAAAACCTTTTCAAGCTGAAACCTAATTCTTTGGCTTCTGAACGTGGTGCGTCTCTTAGTCCTACTCTGGGCAAAGTTTGGATGTCCATCAATATTATGTGCTATTAATGTGCTGGTAATTGTTATGTATTTGTCAGGTTATCTATCACCTTTGCCTTCGGGCTTCATTGGCAGCCTATTCAAACAAATACTTTATCTGCGTGCATGGAGAATTCTCTGCTTTTTAATGTTGATGATCTACTTCATAACTTTTTAAACAATCTAATCATGCCTACCTGTATGTTTGCTGTGAGGACATGTTCCTACGTTTCATTAATCAAGAAACATCTGATATGTAATTCACTGTAGCACACAGGCTTGTAATTTCAGATAATGAGATACATTTTTAACAAACATTTAGCTGTTTGTAAGACGAAGCCTCTGCGGGGCTCTGCTGTGTGGAAGTAATCGATCCCCACAGACAGCAGAGTCAAACACTGCATTACTCACAGTGAGATTTTATCAGCTGCATGTCCTGGCAGTTCTCGCAAATGCCAATGGGAACAAGACTGTAATGTGCAGCAGATTAATGACTAAATCAATCACCATGTCAGATCAGATACTGATCAATGTTAATCAGCACATCACATTCACAGATAGATATTTGCACTATAAATTTTTGCATTGTGGGATTTTGCTGTCAGATCTAATTTTCTATGCATCATGTGCAAAGCAGCTCAACTGCAGCTAAAATGAAAAAATGAAAAACTTAGGAAAATTTTGAGTTTCATTGCAATATAGGGAAAAAAATATGAGAATTTTAGTTATATATATATACACATACAGTATATTCACCCATCCATTTTCTGTATCTGTTTTCTTTATGCACTGGTCAAGAATCAGGGAAACAAGAAAAATATCTTATAAATATTCAACCCTTCATACAAAATTCTCACACACCATCCAGTCTTTTTTGCAGGTGCGTAAGTAATGACAAATCCCGCACCCTGCTCGTCACTTGTACTCATTTTAAAGTTGACGTAGTTAGTAAGTTGTGTGGTTCTGGTTGGTATATGTTTGCTGAGGAAGGTTTGTGCACAATGAACAAAATCAGCAGAAAAAAAGAGGTTCCCCCTTGTTGCCCCACTAGTTTTTCAGTATTATATTCTTGGATCAATTGACAGATTACATTGGAGACTAGACCATATAGTTATATATGATTTTTATAAATGAGAACATTATAAAATTGTCAAAACTTATTATTATTTGAAGACTTTGACAGTGATCCCATTTCATTGATTATTACCTTGTATCATGACATTACTTGATTACTGACTGGGAGACCTGGCCCCAGATGATCGCACAGTACATAAGTGATAAAATGATAGCTTAGACAAAATCACAGCATAACTTTGAGTTTTCAAAAGTAGTTATCAAGGCAACACGATGCTCCAAAACCGAGGTTTGTCAGTTTTCTCAACTTTTGACTACTTTAGTTGATTTTACTAAGGTTTGCAAGTTTAAACAAAAGTTTTGAATCTTCTTGTTCACCTATTTATACAATTATATTCCTGTGAGGCTAACACTTACATTTTTGTTTCGATGCCATGCATTGCTACTTTCAACATGCACAGATATTTTTGTCGAATAAACACACAATTCTTGCTTCAGTGAGATAAATAAAGCACATCATATACTGTATGTTGTGCTTGACAGCATTCCCTAAATACAATTACAACAGCATGAATTTCCCTTTATTTGTCAGAACTCTTGTCTAAACTTGTAAAGTCAACAAACGTACTCAAGTTGACAAAACTCAAAAAGCTAGTGTGTGGTGTTGCCTTCATAATTTGTGTTTTCTCAGCATTTTTTAAAAATAGTGTACTGGTTATATCAAACTGTGTTGTATTTAAGCTTGAGGACCACACAATCAGCATCGTGTTATGTGATTGTATCAGGTAATGTTGGAGAATTAAAACAGCCTAATCAGGAAACCGTTACGTTTCATTTTACGAAGTAAATATTATTACTGCTCTATACAACTTTGGATTAAAACCAGTCTATGCAGTTTTTAATGCATAGAACAGGGAGTTTCTGAACGTATGCCTGCACCATACAATTTTCCCACACTACCCACTCTTCATTTTCTCATAAAAAAGAAACTAAGGGACGTGTTCCTTTTCCCCCCATTCTTTTTATGTTATGGCCCTTGTTTTAGTCTGTGCAAAAATATGTTTCAGTTCAAATAACACAAAGAACAAAAAGTGGGCCAAGAGGAAAGTGCAAACCTATGCCAGATGCGATAAGGAAGTTTATTTTATTGCTTTGCTGGAATATGAACTCATATTTTGTTTAAAAAACTGTACACAAACCATATGAAATGATAGACATGTAAACCATATAGGAATTAAGACACAAGCTTATTCTCTCATATGACATAATTACACAACAACTGCATGCACAAATATTTGATATATATCTGGACTCATCATGCAAGAAATATTCCAAATATCATAGATAGATAGATAATTACAATTTACACTCCATCACCTTCTATGTAATTAAGCTGCTTTTTGAAGGCAAGAAAACGGTCACAAATATTCTCACTGAAGCGGCCATGCTACTGAAGGTACTGATATTCATTATATCTCGGCCACACTGAATCATCTGCCTCACTTGTCCATCTTGGACAAATGAGGCTGCAGTGAGGCTCTACACACGCTTTTGACCTTTATCTTATTGCAGAGTGAAAGAAAAAGTTAAGCTGAAAGATTTCATTGGCCAGCCTCCATGCCTGCCTTTCCAGTAAGATGCCATAAAACCACCACAAACCACTTGTTGCTTAATGAAGCGATTTGCTGGAGGGTGGAGCGACGCACAGGGGCCACTGTATCAGGCAGTCACCCTCAGCCGCTTTTTGGCCGACGCTGCGAAGTACAGAGACAAAATCACAATCAAATGCTCAGGTCATCCTGCAGAATCACCTTTCTTTTATTGAGTGATGAAGTTTAATTTTAATCTGTCAGATCAAAATATTTCTAATAATTTGAAGTATTATCCATTTTTTTTATTCTAGTGCAGCTGCATATCTTATTCTTTCTTACTTCAAGATCCAAAAAGTAATTTCCAGAAGTTTATATTGGAAACAGACTGAAATATCCTTATAGCAGTGACAGTTTTGCAGAGCAACAACTATCTACAGTAATCACCCACCTTCCTGGTGGATGTTTTGGATGGTTTGGCTTTTTTTTGGTCGATGTTCTTCATCAGTTTCATGACCCAGTTCTCCTTGGGGTTTGTGCAAAGCATTCGCCCCTTCTTCATGATGAAGCTAAAAGATAACAGATGCAAACAGATGTTTATTTTCAGTAGCAATGATTTTCAAAAAACCTCATTTCATTTTTAAACATTGTATTGTCTGAGCTTACATAACGGCAGGGATGTTGCAGCTTCCATCGGTCTCCTGACGTCTGTAGTCTACTACATGTTTCTGAGTTTTGTGGTTCAAATGTGTCACATATCTCAGACAGCAGTCATCATAGGAAACTGAAGGTTGGAAATCCAGAACAGTAAAGTGAAAAATACAGTTTGTACAATATAATACAAAACCACAGTGAATCAAGTTAATCAATAAAAAGGTCACTGACGCAATCAGGGCTTAGAACAAAGCAAAAAGTACATAGTGAGGGCACACCTGCCCACACAGGTACTTTCACAATAAATCAGCCACACTGACCTTCATTTTATCGTAGCTTTGTGGTCATATGATATTACTGACAGACAACGGCTGCCCTTTTACAGCATCTTACCTTGTGCCAGTGCCAGACAGAGACACGACAGGCTCGGCAGGAAGAACAGCGTGTTGCACTGCATGGTTCAGTCTGTAGCAGCAGCTCTGATAAAAGCCAAACGATGTAAAGTACATTGTTTATTGTACCTGCAGTCAGCCTTATCGCTCTGTGATTCAGTCACCTCTGCTCCTGCCACACCTTCATCTATTCACTTATGAAACCTTGAACCTTGGACAAATATTTTACATACGGTCTCTTTGTGTATGTCTGTATTACCTCAGTTTTATTTAAGCCTCAAACTCTTTTTAACCCTATAACTTTTTTACTCTTTTTTTTTTTTTTTACTTCTAAACAAACCTCATTCTCCTGGAGACAGGACATTTGTTCACACCTGCTAAATGAACCAGTCACGGTTCTAACATGTTTCCTGTATTAAAAAAAAAGTTTTTTGGCATTTCCTCTGATTTAAGACATTTCTCATCCATTCATTAAACCCATGCCCTGTGTAATCTTACTTCTTAAATTAATTCATGTGTGTTGTCCTTGATAAATAAAGAGAGAACATAAAAAACCCCTTACAAATGCATTACAAATAACCAGTACCCTACCAACTTTTATCTGATAGAAGAAACAAATTAGCAAAGACAACTTTTCGGTTGAAAAGATAAACTGTTATTGAACCTCCAGGATCAGAATGCATCGTCTCTACTCATATCACCACTGCATGTTGCTCACCTCCAATGTTCCAGATGTAGTTTGTAGCTCTCTTCTTGTGTCTATCAACCTGTACAGGCAACGCGCTCTTATAAAGCACTTGGGATCGTATTTCTGTAAACGAAGTCACCTTTGCACCTGAGCTCATCTTTCTTTCGTTTTTTCTGTTTCAGCCCAACCTTCATTTTCAAGCTTTTGCTCAGCTTACATTAAACATACTAAGACTTTTTGTGTAGTTTTCTTTTCTGTGCCACATAGTTAGATCTTCAACATTTTCTAAATGCTCTACAAGTTAAAAAATCTAAAGAAAAAAGCAGCATGGATGTGCACAGGGTGGGCGGGGGGATTTCTTTCTATAGTTTATATTTAGATTTAGAAGTAGGAAATATTTTTAAGCATAGAATTAACTCCCTTGCTGCTCAAGGTTGTTGAAATTGGAGTCCAGCCTTCACTCTGACAAATATGTGTTGAAAAGTAGTACCCAGTCTTTCATAACAGCTGTTGAATGAAGGTGCTTAGTGCACTTGTTGTTACACAACTTGTTCTCAACTCATGCACAAAAGTAGAGGTATTGAGAGTAGAAAGTAGACTGGACGTAGCCCTGTCATAGGCTGGCAAGGTTGCGATAATGTTTGTGCTAAGGTACAACTGCTGCAGCTTCTCCTGCAGAGGGTTCAAGAGATGTGTGTTATGCAGTGGATCAGATGTTTGCATCTTCTCCCTCAAATAATGTCTTTACCTACAAGCACACACCGTCATACCAGTTTCTCATTTTGCTTTGATTAGATTTATATGACTTTGCACAGTAGATATTAAAGTACACAATAATACCAACTCATCCATATCATTAACATGAATGTAATTATGCATTTTCATCTAACATTCATCCTGGAAAGTATTTTGTGCACACATAATTACATTTATAAAGCACATCTAAATGCACAAACACGTACATACAACACATATCCATATAACACTTTACTGAAATAGAAGAATTACCAGCTCTTAATAAGCACATTCTCCTTTCATTACATTTAATTTGTATAAGAGAATAAACAACTGTAAAACAGAATAAACAACTGAAGTGGTTATTAGAGTAATCAGGGTGTTTTTAGCACATTTAATATTACAGAAGACGATATTTGGACACTTTGTACCCTGTTTTGCACCTTCTGAAATTACTGTATATTTCAAACCTGTTTTCTCCAGGTTGATGGTAGGGTAGGTTACTGTGGGTTGTGTATGTGCGTCTGTGTGAACAGATGAATGACAGGCAAATTGTAAAGCCAGTAGGATAAAAGTGATATACAAATCCAGTCTACTTTGATCCGCCCAATGAGAGGTGGGGTACACCCTGGACAGGTTGCCAGCCTATGGCAGGGCTATGTCCAGTCTACTTTCTACTCCAGTTTCATATATTAAGTACAGTACTTGAGTAAATATACTTAGTTACTTTCCACCTCTGGATTTATTGATAAATCAAAATAAATAAAATGCTGCTTTAAAGCCTGGGTGGTGGTTGGGAAGAACCCAGAAGTGTGCAAAGCCCTTCTGCACCACATAACGCACAGTCGCTGCATTCAGGAATAGTGGTATAGGAAACCATGAGGACCATTTTACTGCAGGCAAAGCAAATGAAGAGGGCAGGCCCATGAAATGCCTCCCTGAGCATTAGCAGAGTGGATGTGAGTATAAACAGTGAACTGTGTTATCATATGTCCACTCAGCCACTCAAGACTCAATAATAAGCAAAGCACTGAACAAAGCTGCCTGTTAAAAAAAAAAAACCCACAGCATCTCATTTTTCAGAATGAATAGGAAAAGATCTGGGTGTATATGTGATATGGCATGCTGACAAATGTTTTTAATGCAAAGTTTCTCAACTGTCAGAAGAGAAGATGCCTTGTACAACTCATGTTTCATAATTCAAAGTCAAGCTGTTCTGGGAATACTGACAAGCATAATTTAGAACGTCAACAACCTTTTACTGTTTTACTAGTGAGTTACAGCAGCAACATATACACCACTCAATTTTATAAGTGAATGTAGTGGTTTATTACATATAATAGCAGGAAATGGAGACATCAAACAAATATACCCTGCTTTAGAACAGACTTTAAGTCAGTAAATCAAAGGCTAAAAGGTATCATTTATTATATATAACCACAAGTGTTGACAGATAATCTTAACTTTAAAATGAATGTGACTAAGTGATGAGGTACTGACTTGTTATTCCCTGAGCTCCAAGGGTCAAAGCAGGTCTGTTGGATTTTTATCTGTCAGGTAATCATGAGATTATAGCTCTTATGGCCTGATAAATTTTTATGTGCCATTTGCTGGGGACTTCCATGCACAAATTAAAGCAACAACTGATGTTAACTAAATGATAGGTAATAATTATATTTTAATTCTGAAAGACTGAAGCGAGACAATGGACACATTGGATCTCAACATAACAATTATATAAAGCATGCAAAGCAATAATGTTGTCAGCTGTGGAGATTTATATTGTGCTGGAGCCAATCCCAGCTGACATTAGGCTGGAGTTGGGTCCACCCTCAACAGGTTGCCAGTCTGTCACAGGGCTGACACTTTGACACAAACAACCACACACACTCCTATGGGAAATTTAGAGTCGCCAGTAAACCTAAGCTGCATGTCTTTGGACTGTGGGAGGAAGCCAGAGTACCTGGAGAGAACCCACGCAGGCACAGGGAGAACATGCAGACTCCAATAAAAATACCACTAAATTAACAGTCATTAAATTATATTAGGATGTCAGTTCAGTGTGTGAATTGTAGTCACTGTTCATCTTATCAAATGGGGCTGAGAAATTATTTCACACCAAGTTTACAAACTGATAGTGTACTGCATGTGTGTCACATCTGACCTGCAATAAAAGGTTTTCATCTGAAATCTTATACACTATTTTAACAAGGATGAAACCCTGAATAGTTTTCTAAATAAAGACATTTAAGTTAATTATTTCTGTATCTAAAAAAACCATGAAGAAAATGACAATCCTGTTTTCTTCACACTTCAAACAAGCCTCATAGTATGAGTATCACATAGGAATGGTTTAAGTACAATTTTGAGGTATTTGTACTCAAGTATTTTCATCTTCTGCTACTTCACAATTTGAGAAAAATATTGTACTTTGAACTCATTACATTTATTTGATAACGTTAGTTACGTTTCAGAATCAGATGAATAAAACAAAATACAGTATAATCATAAGACTTTACTGATCCCCAATGGGAAATTCACAAGCTGCTCAGCAGAATATTTTGATGCTAATACTTTTATATCTTAACTTAAAGCTACAGTATATAACTTAAGGTGGTGCTAGCATGAAACACCAAATCAATTCACTCTACTTTGCCTAGCGCTCCTTGTCCCTGCTCCACAATGCTCTACCACACTTCGCCACACTCTGCTCAGCTCTTCAGATATTTGTCATTATGAAATTACAATGAATGAGAATGCAACATAACTTACAGCTCAAGTCCGAAATAAACTCTCTGACTGATCAGTAAGGTCACCCCTGCTCAGAACCTTTTAGAAGCTAATATCTCTGCACTGCTGCAGGGTTACAGGAGGCTGTGACAGCACCTCTCCACATTAAAACAGGTTTTTGAGCAGATTTCTACAACAACAATGTTTGAAATCATTTACAATGTACATACTGTACCTTTAAGTAACAATGCAGGACTTTTACTTGTAGCAGAGTATTTTTACACTGTGACATTGCTACTTTTATTTAAGCAAACACTCTTACATTTTTATGCAATTCTGGTCTTGCTCTGAATGTTCCCAAGTTGATTTGAATGTTGGCTGGAAAAACTACCTGTAACCTCAAGAAAAAAAAGTGGAGTTGGCTGTGATTATCTTTATTCCTGGATGTGATTGCATAGTCAGAAAATTCTGATGGATTAACAGCACTGAATGTTTGTGAGAAAATGATGGTCTACTGCCAAGGGTACTTGGACTCAGGCTGTGTGATGATACATGTTTTGTCTTCAGCATTCCTTTTAGACAATATGATATGTTGTTTTACCTCTTCGCTGATGCTGCCATTTTACATGCATATAAAAGAAGACATCTCCAAGAAGCCATTTATCAGTCTATACAAGACTTTATTTTGGCACACAGTACAAAGACGTTACAGTGGAGATGAGGACAGAGTTGTTTCACATGCTGTAACATTTGCTCTTGTTGCTACCGTCCTTTTGTTAAGTGCATGTACCTGTAAAAGAGAAATGAAAGCTAATATAGAGCAAAACTATCAAAAATTAACTTAGTTTTCTCCAGTTGCCATATTTATGTTTTGAAGCATTATGTGAAATCATGAATGTGAAAAACAAAAACTCTCATTTCAAAGGGGATAGACTCATTTGATAGGCGTAACTTTGTAGCTGTATTGTTGTAAGTGAGGAAATATCACAGGATCACCAAGATCAAAAGGTCTCTTACACTTGGGGGCGTAAATGTAGACAGATCATCACAGTCCAGCCATTGCTTTTCACATACCACCAACTAAACTACACAGAAGGAAATGAATGACAAAGGTGATCTCATATTCAACAGAGGCAGAATACAGCACCAACTACAACAACAACAACAATGAAGTATGTTCATTATAACTTTAATGTGCCCATGAAATAGTTAAGGTTGGGACATTAGACCCTGGGTGATCAAACTTAGCGAACATTCAGACGGAGTGTGGTAAAATGCAACTCCCTGCTGTGTTTTTACACAAGGGGCTGCTTGGTCAGGGGGGTGAGGGGTTCCAGGGGGAGTATTGTAGGTGTGTAGGATACGCCTATGTTCACGTGTGTAGTCAACGTGAGTGGCTTCGTTCACGTTTCCAGCCTGCAAGTTTCAGTTGTGTTCTACCACCAGTGTGTCTGCACTGACAGTTAAAGAACACTGTTTAGCATCCAGTACCCAAACTAACAAAAATGCGTGGAGTATCGCTATGGTGCATTAACTGTGGCCCAAATTCAAGAGTGAATAACAGTGAATGCTCGTACTAACAAGGTAAACAAAAGAGTCTTCTTCCCATGGGTTTCCATATTCTGGCGGTCCCCCGTATGTGATTGGTCAACACAGCACCTTTGCTGGTTGATGTCACTGCACAGTGCGGCAATAGTTGAACCAGTTCCAAATTTTTCACCCCAACGGGCTGTGTTGTTTTGCCAGAGCCCCCTACGGTGCTGATGTCGGCTGTGGAGAGCTCAATCCCCCAGAGAAATGAATGGAGAGGGCTGGGTTTTTCCACACCTTTGAAACTCAGTCTGAAAGTAATGGGTGATTAATTTAAGGAGAAAAAGGCAATTTGATTTGACATAAATTTACCTGAAAACCGGGATTGTTGACAATTTTATGATCTTTTTGTGGTTGGAATTTGTTTTTTTATTACATCCACTATGTGGCCCAAGCTCACCATTAAAGATGCATTAATTATTTAATACTTAATTGAAAATATTTTCAATATTATGCCAAAAGTATTTGTAGTCCATGTAGATTGGCAGACAGCTTCATACAGTTAATATGTATGAAATTTGTTTCACTGGGTAACAAAACTTACCAGTTCATATTCAATAAGTACACAGCACATACAGCCACTACAGATCTCGCAGGCTAAATTGATATTGTACAGTTTTTTTCAACAGGAAAAACCACAGGTCTATGCAGAATTTCACATATGCAACCTGTTAAACTGCACTGTTGTGAGTATAGCTTTCAAGCAAGCATTTGATCTTATTCTAACAGATTCATCACTCAGCTGTATTTAGCGCTACCCAGAAGCCGTGTTCTTTAATGGTAAATGTACTGTATTTATATAGCACATTTTTCCACAGTGTGTTGCACTGGCCAAAGTGCTTTACAGGAGATCATACACCATTCACTCATTCACACACAACATTCACACACCGATGACGACAGGCTGCCACACAACGGCGCTAGTCAGGCCACCGGGAGCAATTCGGGGTTCAGTGTCTTGCTCAGGGACACTTAGGCATGCGGGGAGACCGGGAGTCGAACCACCAACTTGCTGGTTGGAAGACAACTGCCCTACCTCATGAGTCACACCCACCCCTTTAGATGCTTCTGCTCAGAAGATAAGATCAAATATATTATTACTTAACTAATAAGATGGTTTCGGGGGTTCATTGGGTGTTAGTTACAGTCATGTGAGACAAATAGCTCTGTGTAATACAGTGTGTCTTGGGTGGTTTTATATTATTTCACTGGAGTGGATGTATTACACACACCAGGAGGTCAGGAAGTCACCTTCTCCAGCCTCTGATAGAGGTAGCCACTCTTACTATTTTAACAGTGTTACAGAGCTTGTTTGCAGATCTGCAACGTTGCATGGATTCACCATGTTACCGCTTCATGGACTCCATGTATACTTTCACTTTAGAATTTTAACAAGCTGGTACAGAATCCTATAGTATGTGATAATGGTTTCAGTATACAGGAAGCTTAATCCCAGCTTCAAAATGCTAGTTCACCCTCTGGTGGCAGGTAAGGTGAATTACATTGCCTTTATAGTAAAAATGAAATGCAAAGCAGCAGATGAGCATAACATCTTTTTGTGTGCCTTACAGTTCTAGGGACCATTAAGTACTGAAGAAGAGCTGGTAATGTTTTTTATTTGATTCACAGCATAGTGAATGTAGCTTTCATAAAAGGTACCAGGCTGAAATAAAAGAGGAAAAGCAGAACAAACCTGTTTAAAAACATTCAAATATATGGCCCTGCATGTGTTGTATGAGCTAGGAAATGCATTCAGGATGTGTGTTAGACCTCAAGGAAACACTGACTGTAAATAAGTAAACAAGCTAGGTGTTAACTAAGGATAAGTACAGTACTTTTCATTCTTAACATCACTACAGACCATTTGTCAAAGCATGGGGTATGAATATAAACATATATATACATCACAGTTAACATCATATCTGTTTTCATTGGTGTCATAAAGTGTCATAAGTGTTTTTTTTTAGATAGGGCTGTTTTATTATCCTTGTTGGTGTGACGCAACAATGCACCACCATGTGTATAAATGTAAATGTGGACAAAATCAGAATACATGAAATGTGAACTATGCCTTGTTTGTTTACCTTGACGCTGTTGGCTGGCATGCTAGATACAGCTGAAACTGGAAAGGTAAATATACAAAAAGTGTTAAGTCATAGTGTGCCAGGGAGGAAATAGCTCACAAACTGTAGGCCTATAGTCAAGACTAAAATAGCCTTCAGTGTGGGAAAGTTTTTTAAAGACTTTATTATGAGAACCATTCTTCCTTGGTTCTATTTTAATAAAGTAGGGTGGACAGCAATTCCTCCTCCTGACACTTTGTCTTATCCCTCCAGGTCTTGAAGACTTGTACTTAATTATATAAATGATGAGGACAATTGAGCTATCAGCTGAAGAAGACTGTGATGTGGTAGAAAGCTCCAGAATGTGAGTAAAATGATACTGAGTTTGTAATTTTTTTTGACGAACTATTCTGGCATTGCTATTTTGGGGTGCAACCATGAGCACACAGTACTTTGTGGTTTAATGAAGAGCACAGGAAGAGTCAGGGGGTCGCTCAGTGGGTTACTAAACGATGGAAATGTAGCTAGTCCCCCACTGAAAACACTTCTGCCTCGCATATCTGCGCGGTGGGTTGTGGGTGTGTGAGCGTCGAAGTAAAATGGCGGACTTGGCAAACGAAGGTGAGTAAGTGGCAGTATGAGGAAACAATACCGCTACTGTGGTGTCCTAAGTCATGTCTAAACATTTTATGCATATTTTATAGTTGAAGTGAAGCTACTTGGCCGCAGGTTAATAGCAAATTCAAGGGAATTATAGCGTCACGGCGTTTACAAGACTAGACCGTTAGCAAGCTGGCTAACAGTGCTAACAGCTGGGCTGTGGCTAATACCTGGAATTCCTCGGAACGCCCTCGAAGGCTGCCTGTTAATAGCTGGTTTGCCTCATAACGCTAACACCCGGCTATTTTTAGTTCGTGTGTTTGATGAGCTAAGCTAAACGGTTTGTGGATGTAAACCAAAGCCTGCTAGGCCAGATATAAAAGAAGTCAGCTTATCACAAAACCAATGTGAAAATGCAATGCATGCTTGTTGGTTTTTCATTACATAGCAATTGTTTACCGTATTCTCGTTATTTAAAGCAGCGCTAGTTAGCATTCAGTTGCACGATTGCTTAATGTTCATTTAGGCGCGTAGAAAAACGGCAGACAAGAGACAATGCTTTGACGTGATCGTTGTTGTCTTTACGTTATTTGTTTATTCCACCCTGGTGTGTTTGTTATTAGGATGATATGGGAAAATTCATTGTGAATCTAATTGTCGCTGCTTGTCAAGCGAGATGACTCATGCGAGAGAGAGCGCATTAGCGAGCTAACTAGCGCAAGTAAGCAAAAGCTACGTTCGCTTATAGGCAACAAACGGTGGTCTAGACTATTTGCTGGAACCATCAGGTATGTGCTAACTGGTTAACATAAGCCGGGAACACCTCTGGCTACGTGAATTTCAGAAGTGAATATCAGTGTTGCATGCTGGTATTGTAACATTCATTAGCCGAGAAAACTGACTACAAACCACAGAGGTATACAAAGCTCGAAGTTAAATATAGGTCACACAATATGTCCATGTTTTATGCTATAAAACGCGATTTCTTATATGAACAGCTAAAATTAGCAACGAGATTGTTCATTAGAGAGGGTCCGGAAAACAATCTGGCCTACGCGCTGCGGCTATTGGCTTGTTATTGCATGCATTTATGCCTCGTCGCGACAGTGACGCTACACCTGCTCTGTATAAAAGGCCGGGCCTAGATATAGGAAAACCTTTGTTTGCTAACGTTACAGGATTAGACATTTTACAGAGGTTACAGTGCCTAGGTAAGCACATTAAGTGGCCCGAGGTGACATATTATTACACTCCCTGCCAATTGCTAATCTTGTTTGTTATGACAAGCATACAGCAGCAAGTAAACACCAATAAATGAAAATGAATAAAGCCGTTTTGATTACATAAGTAGCTGTAGTTTTTAACCGGCCATGCAGATGGACTGAAAGTTTGAAGATTGTGTGATATATTGGTATTTACATTTGCCTTTTACTTTTGATCTGGATGTTTTACTGTTTTGAGCATTGCTTAATTTATGTCCTGGTGCTCATAATAGAATTGTAAGATTAAGTGTCCTATAGTCTGATTAGGACTATTGAAGACTGGTCCACATTGACTGAAGTCAGACATTGTTCACCATTTTATAAGTCATCTTGGCCACGCTTTTTCCCCCCACACTGCTGTCTTTTGTAGTTATTTTTGACTCAGCTAAACTTGACATATAAATAAACTGCTGTTTTACATAATTGCAAGCGTCTTATAAAGGCGCTATAAGTTTATGATCCACAATGTTTATCTGTCATACAGTCTGTGTTTTACAGGATGGTTAAGTAAACCTCCCTAAGTTTAAGATGATTATTGGCAGCATTATATGTCACAGTGCATTGAAATGTTGTATTTAAATGCTTGGTTTCTGTTTAGTATTGATGGCACAACCTCCTACACTACTACTCACTACCTTAAAGGGAAACATCAAGGTCACACAATGAGTAGGTCATAGCCTTAGGATTTTTTCAACTGTAATGCTTGTAGAATTAAACAGATGGGACTGCTGTACACCTTAGTGTTTGGATGACTAGCCTATATCTTCTTTTAACAGACAAACCTGCCATAGCGCCTCCTGTGTTTGTTTTCCAAAAAGATAAAGCTCAGAAGGTAAGGTTCTCTATGTTGTTTTATCAAGGCTGGAACCATATTTTATGACTTTTCAGATATTATTTTCATAAGAATTGTGCAGTAAACAGAGATTAAGTTTACTGATGATTTGTAAAAGAATACATATGTGCACATAAATATTTCTTTTTTTATGATATAATCTAATTATAATTTACCCAGTTTAGACACAGATTCTATCATGATTCTATTGCTGTAGTTTGTGAAGAAAAACTGTATTAGAATCAGCTTTTCAGATGATAGTCCACAACAAGGTAGCCCCAGTCTTAAAATGACCATAAAATACCCTAGTGGACACACTAATGGTGATACAGGTTAGGTTGGACAGGGCGAGCCTGAGCCGACCGTAGTTGGTGAAGGGAGTACAGACGTGAGGGAGATGAGGCTAATTTGCCTAGGTTTTATTGCATGTACGGAACAAAGCACAGGTGTGAAGTCATTAGTTTCATTTTAGTGTCACTCCAGCATTTCAGATGCTGCCCATTGTATGTGTAGAGGAGCCAAGTGCCGCCCTTGGTCAAACGCCAACACAGAGAGAAGGCACTAGGGGTTGTGGTTCCATCTGCTAGAACCGCCAACCCAGACCATGGACATTTGGTTTGCGGTTTCGAGTTCAGAACTGTTCCACCCCTAATTTATACTTAAATTCGGCCAGGACTGAATTCTTGAAAAGCACATATCACAGAAGAGTTTCTGAGCACAAATCATTCAACATTAGCAGAACTGTTAATAAAGCTTTATAACATATATTGATGGCATGTCTAGCACATCTTGCTTGAACTGATTCTACTTTTAACTTTTATCTAGTATTGTAGCTCCAGACAGAAAATCACTGAGGTCAAGCCAGATGCAGCCTAGTGTTATTTTTTTGTTTTTAATTTTCTAATGATTTCAGTTAACTCTTTTGGAATAAATTAGAACTAAAAGCCTCACTGTGTTTTCTTTCAGCGATCTGCAGAGAGCTCGAGTGCAGAGGATGGAGAAGGTAAATGAAATGTCCAAGCTTCATATCTTTCTCATAGATTTATTTAAACTGTATTATGATTATTATTATTGTTGCTACTTTCAGATTCAGATAAAGATGAAAGAAGCTATTGCCCTCCTGTGAAAAGGGAAAGGACCTCATCGTTCCCACCCCCACATTCTGGTAAGGCCATGTGATGAGCATTTGTTCCTTTTTTTTTTTTTTTTTTTTTTTTTTTTTCCTTGGTTCTTGCTTGTGGTGTATACCCATTGATTTGTATGCTGAGTGCAATACTTCTCTGCTACTTTGCAGTTCCCAAGAACAATGTATTCATGCCCCCAAGTTTCTGCCAATCACCAACAGGGAACTCTGACTCTGAGCCAGGTAAGGCATCTAAACCGCTATTAGTTTCTCGTCACAGTTTAAAGGCCACAGGCAGTAAAAAAAATAAAAAATGTTTGAAGAGTTTAGGGCAACAAACACAACGAAATGACTAAGAGAGGTAAACAGTAACTTTTGCTATCCCAAGGATTATATTTCAGAAAGCAGTTTTGAAGAATGCAAAACACAGCATCCACAGACAGGATTGGATTTTTTTCAGGTGTGTGATTAAAGAACAAGTCAACGTACATTCAACATGAGTGCACATGTTAAAAGTTGAAGAAAAAAAATTACTCTTGCACATTTTTTTATGTAGTATTAATGTTATAAAATTAAATAAGTCTGAAGAAACATGCAGTCAAGTTGAACACATCTTTCGGTTCAGGCTTGTTTGTTTGAGATTTGGTTATTCTGAAGGAATTGGGTCCTCTGGCTGTTCAGAGTTTAACAGTCAAATTTATGATGCCAGTATTGGAAGAAGTAAAAGCTTGAGTTTGATATTGGTGAAGACAGATGGTTTATTTTTATAAGATGCTTTAGTGTCATGTGCTGATAGATGGCTGCAGCAATGAGTTGGAATTTATAAGCCAGTTATGTCTTGTGCTGATGGGCCACTGTTCCTGTTTCTGAATTGACCTTTCTTATAATGGCTGTTCCCAGATTAGTTATCTTGAAATTTGAGGGATAATATTTCTATCTTGTTTCTCTCTGAAAAAAGGAGGGGGGAAACTGTCAAAACCCAAATTAGGGGACACAGGACAGGCTTAGTTAGATGTCATTGATGTAATAAGTCGGTACACAACAGATTCATGTCTCACTTTCATGCTGTTCCTGTCTTTTTGTTGAGATTTGTGACCATGTTTGGGTCAAATTTGGGAATAAATCTGACTCTAGAGCACACCATGTTACCGCACACAAGTTGGACAGCAACGCAACTCAAGTTCTACAAGGGTTGCTGTGGTAACTGGCGCTTTGTTAGAGAGGGGAAAAGACAGAAGGAAGTTTCTAAGTAGCTGTGCAAATCTTAGATCTATTTTTTTAATATCTACTTCCTCTTGTGCTTCATCTTACCAGAGGAGAAGCCGGTGGCATTCCGTTTAAAGCCACCCACTCTCATACATGGACAGGCACCAAGTTCAGGTTGGTGTTTGATGTTGTTTGTCTTTTTCGTGTAATATTGTCTTGTACTCAGGTCGTTGAAATAAAAAAAAAAAAGAACTGAGACTTGCACCCTTTTTTATATGACCCCTCTCAGAAATGGAAGTGATACATCTAGACTTGAATGTGCAGATACAGAACATCTTGTTTAAAAAGTTGAGTCAGGTTTCCTGTGTTGTAGGTGTTCCAAGTCAGAAACCCAAGGAGCAGCAACGCAGTGTCCTCCGCCCTGCAGTTCTCCAGGCACCGCCTTCTAAAGCTCATATAGAGTCCAGTAAGTAAAACTTGGAGTCACCTACAGTCATTAGCTGATACCTAAATAACATTCTCAAAAATCATAAAATTTTCTTTCTGATAATTTAACTTGAAATACTGGTAACCTGCACAGTGTGTTTTCTCTATGTGCCTTACAGGCTTTATTTCCTTCAGGACAGTAAAAAAAAAAAAATCACTACATTATCTTTGTCCTTCTGTTTGTATGTTTAGATTCCAGTTGTGGAACCAATGGTGTGAAGAAGTCATCAGATGGGGTACCCGCTACCCAGTCCCTCTTCCTGAACAACACAGAGCACTCAGCCACATTGGCCAAGACACTGGTGAGGAGTTGCTAAATCTCAGCTTGTTACAATCAGGGGTGTGCTATTAAAAAAACAATGCCAGTCAGTTCAGCACAGGCTTTGTTTAAGAGATCAAAATGTGGAAAACCATTGTGGGAGCCACAGGGTTGTGGGTATTTTCATGCTTCTCTGTAATGATAAATTATATCGAGTCTGGAATTTATAAAAAATTGGGCAAATGTTAGGCATCAAATGAGTCACTGTATCATGAGTGAAATTTATTGCCCCCCCCCCTTGCTCGAGAGCGAAGAGTAGTTGTTGCAGTAGTTGCTGCCATTTTATAGACAAATACACCAGTGAAAATGGATAAAAGTTGGCTAGTGGTTTTATGTTCCCATTTCAGAAACATGAAAATAAGGAAGATGGAGCAAGTGGTAACAGAGATGGAGGCGGGAGAGAGAAGGAGACAGATGTAGCGATATCTTTTGTGTTTGGTCAGAATATCAAAGACAGAGCAAAGGTGGGTTCTTCTCTGCTTTTCCATTTGTTTTATAAGCTGTCTGTGATTATGCAGTGAGCACAAAAATGGATAAATAAAAGTGGCAGTCAGATGAGGGGCTCCATCTGTCTTTGAGCTGTCATTAGGGTTGCAGCAGTATACTGGTTTTACAGTAAACCATGGTATGAAATTAACAGTACCCGTACCATGCACATTTGCTTATTAATGGTATTGGAAAAAAACATGCAATGTATGTACAACTTTCTTCCCCTTATTGCCCACCACATGCGCACATGCAGCAAACAAATGGCAGAGAGGAGGAGGCTGATATCGCCAAACTCCATCCACCAAAAAAGAAATTTAAATTGGCAGTGCAGGATTACTTTGGATACCTTAAAATGAACACCTTCAAGAACACCAAAATATCAAAATAATTTTCCACGTTGTCGTTCGCTAATCTCTGACTTACAGTCTGAGAACTCACACTGATCCCAGCAACACACTTGGTGCATGAGTGATGGGCTATTAATATAATATACTGTATAGTACAACTTTTTTTCTGCACTGAGTAGCATACTATAATACTTTTAATATTTTAAGTACATTTTTGTAACGGAGTAGGCCACTTTTACAGTATATCAGTACTTTTACTTAAGTAAATGAGAATACTGCCTCTACTACTGGTGCTAACACCTAGCTCAGTCAACCAGCACAGTCACTCTCAATAAAAAAGATCCTTTTTTCATTCTTCCGAGGGTCGTTATAGCTGATAAGACTAATTGTGTAATATCATAATGCCGTGATATTTTCTGAGATGGTTATCGTACCATGAAAATCTCATACCATTGCATCCCTAGCTGTCACTCTGAATAGCTTGTTACCGTATTATAGCCCACATTGTGACACTTGTATTATGTTAAGAGTATTGGTTCTTTTAAAAAAAAAGTTTTCTTTGGCAGATGATGAGCAGGATGTGCATTTCTTCTTGGGTTTGTCCAATATTATTCTGTGTAAATGTCATGAGTCTGGAGCTATTAGAATCTTTAGAGTATATGGAAAACATGATGTGCTGCCCACTCACTTGCTATGCTGCATGTTAGTCAAGATTTTCATAAAACATAGATTTGTTCAAGGGTTTTTTTTATCTTTAAGCATAAGTCGTGCATGATTCCAAATTTAACACAATTGTGTTTTTTTCCCCCCTCTAGTTGGATGAGAACAGTACAGAAGATAGGTCAAAGGATAGTGTGCCACTGGAGCCTCAATCAGAGGGCACCAATTATTTCTTACAGTACATCTCCACCCCAAGGTAATGAAATTGTGTCCTATGTGTATTTTTAGAAGCTCATCTTCGTTTATAATTAACTTCAATCAAATTACTAATGTTTTTTTTCTTTCCTCCATTTTCAGTTCAAAAAATGCTACAAACAGTACAGACAGTGGGGCAAAATTTATTTTCGGGCAGAACATGTCGGAACGAGTTCTGGTGAGTGGATTGAGCTTGTTGGATAGATATTCTGTCATACTGCAAAACTCCTAATGAGTCAGCTTTAAATTAGTTCCACTGATCAGCTTTATTGTGTTTTCAGAGTCCACCCAAAGGAGAAGCCTCAAATGAGGAAAATAAAGAGGCTTCAGTTGTCTCTGTTTCAGAGCCCTCGTCACAGGAAACCACCCCAGAAAAGGGTAAAAACACAAACCCACTGATTATTGAAAAGGTATTTGGTGTTTGGCTAGACAACTGAGAATTAGGAGACACTTGGCTACACTCAAGTGACAACCATAAACAACAAGATCTGGCACAGTCAGACATTTAATCAGCCTGTAATTTGAGATGCAAATTTCAAACCACTATCTAGATATTTCCTTAGAAGTTGAGGCAGTTTTCTCTGTGGACAATCGTCCATTGAATTTGGTAACACAAGGGCTAAGTTTTTGAGTTACACCCTCCAGCATATTTTGGACACACCCATTTGTTTTCATACACAGTTTATTCACATTCAAATTATCATCTGCTTGTTTTTAGGGAATAATATACTACAAATGTAAGAATATGACATGACTTGGTTTGGACAAATGAGGCTATGACTATAAGGAATGGCATTTCCTTTATTTGGTTAGTTAACTGATCATGAACCAAGGTTGGTGTGTTAATATGACTGTCAGTAGTCCTTTATTTTGGGGCCTGCAAGCAGCAGCTATGAAATTCTAAATATCTTTTTACTGTCAGTGGATTGAGTGGGCGCTCACTGAAACATACTATGTATTATCTCACTGTAATTGTAGCCTTCCATGTTTAGGTAGCTTAATCGGCTCTGTTCTGCCAATGATCTGCAGCAGCCTTGAGACCTCCACTGTGAGTGACAGAGTGCCATCCTGGGTCCAGAATTGTGCAGAGAATGTTTTTTGTCACAACAAGAACCTTATGGAAAACCAAACAAACGTCTTGTTGACTTGTTGATGGGAACAGCTTGAAGAGCAAACATCTTCAGCATAATTTCTCACCGTTGTGTTTTATATCACCAGTGAACAATGTGTCTGAATCTTTGGAGGAGTCTGCAGCAGCATACACCAAAGCCACAGCCAAGAAGTGCATCTTAGAGAAGGTTGATGTCAAAACTGGAGAAGAATCAGAAAGCAATGTTTTACAGGTAGAGGGTGGGCTTTCCTGATTCCAGATGTGCAGTAAATAAATGTGGCAGAGAGTAATACTGTACTTGTTTGTACCCTTCTCTTTTTCTCCCCCAGATGCAATGCAAGTTATATGTTTTTGAGAAGACTGTTCAGTCGTGGATAGAGAGAGGTCGAGGTTTGCTGAGGCTCAACGACATGGCATCAACAGATGATGGGACACTACAGTCACGTCTAGGTAAGCATACCTGCAGAAACTTCTTGGGGGTGAAAAAAAGAACACAACTTGGTGTTATTGTGCACAGGATCAGTTTCTTGTGGTGCAGCCAGTGCATGGTTTGAATGCTTGCTTTCATGGTGAGTTGAATGCAAGAAAATCCCGGGATGATGAGAGAAATCAGGAACATTTTTCTCAGTTAAAAATTAATGACATTTTACTTAAGGTGATTAAATCCACTGATAATTCAGACTGTCTGACGGTGACCACAAGGGGGAGCCCATTCACATGCTTCTAAGCTGTAGAGGGGACACACCATTAAATACAATAAATTTTAGACCATAGTATTATTGTGGACAATGTATTAACACTGTATCCATGCTAATGAACTTATGACAAGTATCAAAGTCTCAGCACATACAACATCCTTGGTGACCTTGGAAAGGACATTTGATGAGGCTATGGACCTACAGTCACTATTGATTGTATCTTATTTTTTATGACAAGAACTCACAGCACTCAAATCATAATCTGGTAGAAAACCATGGACTTAACAAAACAAATGGTGGCTTGGAGCCATAGTTCATTAATGCTGTGTGTGTTTGTGTGCGGTTACATCGTCCAGTGATGAGGACCCAGGGCAGCCTCCGATTGATCCTGAACACCAAACTTTGGCCCCAGATGCAAGTGGATAAGGCCAGTGAGAAGAGTGTACGAATCACTGCCATGGACACAGAGGACCAAGGGGTCAAGGTCTTCCTAATATCGGTATGTATCAATAAACACTATATTAATAAGCTTGTGCAAAAAATATACATATACAAACTTACTGCCAAAAGTATTGGCACCCCTGCATTTCTGTCAGATAATGCTCCTCTTCTCCCAGAAGATTGTTACAATTACAAATTCTTTGGTATTCTTATTTCTTTTGTTTACATTGTTACAAAAAAAAAGCACAGGGGGGAAAAAGCCACATCTGATAGATTCCACACAGAGCTTCAGAAATGGGCTGGACAGAATTATTGACACCTTCAACTTCATTTTGTCTTCTTGATTCAGGGTAGTTCTAAAGACATAGGTCAGCTGGCTGCAGCATTACACCACCGTATCTTAGCCCTGAAGAGCCGGGTGGAGCAGGAGCCTGAGGCCCCAGCAACATCCATCTCCGAGGCTGAGGTGCCGCAGTCCAATGAGGATGACAGTGACGAGGAAGACAATGCCTCCACCTCTGCTTCAGCCTCCACTCCTGCTACAAGTCAGTGATTTATTTTTTTGTGTGTTTGAAAAGTCCTGATTTCCCTACTGTTAAAGTAAAAACATTATAACCTACAAACTGTTTTGATGCTCTACAAAATTTTTGTTCAGGCCAAGTCGATCAGGCATAACTTTATGACCACCTGTACATCTGTATGCACGTTAGTGCAACACTTCTGCTTTAACATTTCAGTTTTTGGTGAGACTGTCAAATGTATAAATTCAATTTTATGTTTATTATTGAGGTCATAGTTAAAGGTGGTGTTATATTCAGAGGTGTTCCTAATGTTCTGACCCTCTCATGTATGTCAATGGGCAGGGCAAAAATTTACAGACACCTCTGAATATAATGGCAGAAGTGTTGCATTGAAGTGCATACAGATGTACAGGTGGTCAATGTTATGCCTGATTGGTGTATATACTCCTTTAAATTGATGTTACGTATGACTCCACGGTATAAGAAGCAACAGCACAATAATGATTCAAATTTTCTCATAACATTTTAAGCCACCCACCAAATAAATACAAAGCCACAAACACGCATCTATACACTTGGAAAAAAAAAAATCCAGTTGTCTGGTAATTGATAAGTTAAATTCTTTTTAGGCCAACAGTTACAGGTTATCCAGTAGTGCAAATCCATACACAACCTTTGCAACAACTGAATAGACCCTAATAAAGAGCATATCCTATTCAAAACTCAGATTCATAAACATCACAATCAAACTTTAAGAAGAAGCTTTATTGTCATTGTAACATTGACATGTACAACAAAATTTTGCCTGACCCGAGAAGCCCCAGGCCGCTGTGTGCATACGCGCCGCCATCACCGCGAACTTGGGGGGTTCATTGTCTTGCCCAAGGACACTTCGACATGTGGACTGCAGGCACCGAGATTCAAACCGGGAGACGACTGTGCTGTTGTTTCTTGTGCTGGTTGGTCTGGATGTAGTGTCATCAATTTGAAGGAGTCTACATTATGTTAGATCAGAGTACCAGCTAATAATGTCATTGGCATGGTAGCTTGGTCTGAATAAAAATATTTTGCAGTATCATATCATTGGGGGCAGTGTGGGCTACTCTACTAGTATTATTCCTTGGCATACGCACCTGATGCAAAGAAGTTTGTTTGAGGAGGTGCATGCACTTAAAGTAATTACTGAGTGTTAAAGCAAATGAATGTCATGATTTGGAGTGTTTCTGGTTTTATTGCTGCTTTGTGGATATTTATATAAAAGTGCACTGCATTCACCAAAGAAAAAAAATTGTAGGATCTTATCTCCTAATTATGACTTACTATCTTACAATTACAGGCTTCAAAGTTGCTGCTTACAGTGTAAGTTACTATGCACATAAAATGAGCTGGAAAGCTTCAGAACTTGCTTGAGAAACATTTGGTTTTAGGATTCCTCAGCAGGCAAGTCTGACAGCATATCCAACAGTTGGCAGCAGAATGAACTGCTGATAGAGATCGTTAATTCAGCGTACTTATAAATACAACTTTTTCAAATGTAACCTAGACCAGATTTAAAAAGGAGATTAGCAACATCTTTACTGACTCTATAAAGAATTTTTTTAACAGTATGGTGGATCAGTGGAACATTGAATAGTTCCAAACGTAAGGCAGTAGGATCGAGCTCCAAATGCAGCCACGGCCACTTGCTGCGACCACTTTATGAGTAGCTACTGCCGGATACTGTTAGCTGTTGGTGACTGCAAATGTGCGCTAAAATGCCAATGTTGGTATGTGCAAATTACAGACCTATTCCTTTACTTGGGTATTTGCAACAGGTCAGTATTGATAGGGCTCTTTAAGGTAGGCTACACTGTTCATTCATTTTGTGTTTTGTGTATTAAGATAGTATTTTACAATGGTTAGACACGACCATTTCAATTTAATGTACTGTACTTTGAGCCAGAAGATCTCACATTGCTGTTTGCAGTAAAATAACCTACATCATAAATACGGTGGCATGCTATCATTATAGTTTATTTACAGTGTGAGGGCCACATGATCATTGTTTATCACAGCTGCCACAGTGGCTCAAACTACAGTAGATGAAAGTGAAAACGTTAACATGTCTAACCATCATAAAATACTATCTTAATACACAATCAAAACACAAAATGAATGAACATATACTGACCTGTCGCAAAAACCCAAGTAAAGGAATAGGTCTGTAATTTGCACATGCCCCAATGCACGTACCATTTTAGCGCACACTCGCAGCTACCGACAGCTAACAGTAGCAGGCAGTAGCTACTCACACAATAGTCGCAGCAAGTGGCTGGAGCTCGGCCCCTCTCACATAAGGAGCAGCACCATAGATTTACAGTGACTTGCCTGCTATCTTCTAAAGTAAGAAATTGAAATCAACAGCAATAATTATACTTGACATCTTAAGCTAGTGACATGTAAAAACACATTCTACAACCTTTTTGACTCAACTTTAATAAATTAGGTACCTAGCTAACTGGCTAAATTAGCTGAGCTATCTACAACAACAACAACAACAACAAAATTAGTTAAAAGTAATGTTAGTATTTTACTCAAATCCCTCAGTTTCATATAGAAAACAATGGCTCTGAATCGGCTGTTTGGAACTATTTGAAGCCACGAGTCAGTTGACACGCGGCCAATTATGAGATCCTGATAAGATCTTATGAGATATGAACCTACAATTTTTTTCCCCTTTAGTGAATGCAGTGCACTTACATATATTCAGACCACTCATCTAACAAAACTCTTGTCAACCTGCTGTCACTTTATTCTTACAGGTAACTCGGAGGGAGGAGACAGTCAGGCGGCAGGAAGCACATAGCGTCAATCTTGGACAGCCTACTAAGATGCTGCTGTTGAAGCATTTTGCTGTAGGCATCTCCATGGACACCCCTTGACCAACCTGGGTCCTCCAGACCAGTACTTTTGGATATTAGAAGTCTAGCTCCAGGAAATAACCCCCTGTGCCGGAGTGTCTCGCCCAACTCGTGCAGTTCATCTTCTCTGCATTCAGCGTAATATCTGGAGTCTTTCTTCCTCCCTCCCTCTCCTGTTTTGCATTTTATTTTTGTTTTTGAGTATTTTTCCTCCCCCGATAGCAAAAATAAAGACTTCAAAGCTTTGGTTTGGGACTTTTCTGCTCATCATATTGATGAGTGTATGGGTGTTTTCCTCTACATTTTAATGTATGGCACATGTTAAGACTGCAGTTTCTACTTTGGGACCTTTTTACTCACTCTACAGCTGTACCTCTGGACGCCACATCCAGAGGAGCTTCATTCACAGTGTATTTGCCTAGTCATCCAATCAGTTGTTCCAACATGGAGTCCAAACCTCCCATCCCAGCCAGTCTCTGTGTTACGTTTGGCAAATCTAATTTATTTTGGGCCATCACTGTCATGAGACATCAACACATATGTGCTGTTTGTAATGGCTAGCCAAGTCTATCCAAATTGTCATTAATATCAGTTACGTTTCCTATTGAATTATATTATATTGAATAAAAGACTCGGCTTCTGCTAATGAGTTAGTAATGCAAGGGCAAAAGGACTTACCTCAAATTTTCTCTAAATTAATAAGATGTTAAGTCATTCTTTACCTTGTGGGTTTTTGATTCCCCCTGATCAAGAGAATTGACTGTCTACATTCTACATATAACTGCTACTTCTGGTTTTACCTGCAGCATCAGAAGGGATTGTGTTGATGCATATTTTTACTTTGAAAATAAACAATTTGTCCATTCGCATTTTGGGAACATGTTGGAAAGACGACAACACTCAAATTTTCCAATCCTGAAATTAACTGTAATACCCCTTGAAACTTCATGTACATTTGAATAAAATCATTTAGTAGCGCACCGTGTTTTCTCATCTCCAACTGCCCCCTTTACAAAATAAAACATTTTGGAACGACTTGATTTTTTTTCCTTCTAAAATTTGATTATCTATGCAAGATCTAAACTTCCTAATTTCTAGCCTGACAATTCAGCAGAGCATAGTATATACATTGATAGTAATTATCTTAGCTGTACTGAGTCAAAACATTACAATGTGGAATAACAGCCAAAGAGATAACACATTTCAACCTTGAATGAGTCATTCATCCGTTTTCTGTTGGCTCTGGCCCACAAGTTGATGAATGCTGTGCTCTGACTGCACTGAGCTGTAATCAGACCAATACTTGCTCATATACTGTATGCATCAGGCACAAGGTCATGAATATTTGATGCATACACCTATCACACCATCCTGACATAATTATACATCCAAACTAAAAACTGCTACTGCTCCCAAACTCTCCTTATCTGCCTTTCTGTGGTGACAAAGTATTTTTCTGCTCTGTCCCTTGTAAATGACTGCACTGTCATGGGAAAAAATATCTGACCTTAGATGTTGGACAGTATAAAATGTAAAGTCACTCCAGAAACTAATGCAGACCCCTTCACTTTTTGCACACTTCAGTAACCCATAAGAACAAAGTAAAAATGTGTTTGACAATTTTGGTAATTTATTAAAAATCAAAAACTGAAGCTTTTCATTTTAGACCCTTTGCTGTGGCACTCCCAATTAGTTCAGGTGCATTTTGTGTACTTTAATTTTCTTTTAGATGTGTCCAAAAACAATCACCACATTGTGCAGTATTGCAGAATGTTAGGCGTATTACTGTGTTACTTCAAGTGCATGTAAATTTTACCACTATACTTGACAGTGCACTCAAAAATTCCACAATGAAATGGAAAAAATTGTGTACATGGCATATACACTACTTGTTAACAATCCCACAATGCAATGCTCCACATTTTACAGCAGTGATGATGCAAAATGATTAGTAAGTTGTCCAAAATTTTAATTTTGTGCTCCATATTTAAAGGGAAAGGTCAGTCACTTTTGGATTTTACAGTATTTTAAACAGAGTAAAACCAACAATGAACTGGCTCTACTCATGATTGTCAGTCCTAGATGAGCTTATTTGTCTGTGCCATAGACCTCCATTGTTGTAAAAGGAAAAAAGAAAAGATTAAAAATGCATATCAGGGAAACACCCTGCTGCACAGGGTGACATGTTTCCTCCTTACGAAACACAAGACCCTAATGTTTGTTGAGAATATCCATACATTTTGTGCATGGGCTCTTGCTTACGTCAGCCTTTGGGGTGGTATTTTTAAAAAATATTAGGCGTTTGTGTTTTGTAATGAGGAAACGTCACCCAGTGTAGCAGTGTGTTTTCCTGATATGCTTTTAATTGTTTTTCCAATAATGGAGGGGTATGGCACAGACAAATAAACTAATCCAGGACTGACAGACAGTAACAGTGAAGGTTGGTTTTAGTCACTGCATGGGGATGTTCAAAATACTGTTAATATAGAAAATGACTGGCCTTATCCTTTAATGAACTTCTGAGCATACACAGGGAGAAGTGAGTAAATGAGGGAGTAATTTTAGACAAAGCCTTGAACTGTCTGAATCATCACAAGTGTGCAAAAGGAAAGGGGGTCTGACTTCATGAAATTACTGTAAATCTATCTCCATAATTTTGAGTCGTTTGCGTTTGCTTGAGGCCTTGAAATCCTACACGGAGGTTCTCCTTCAGGTTCACCAAATGCAAGGATCATGAGAAAGTCACAGAGGACAAATTAGTTTTGAGAAGCTTTCTACTCACCTGCTGTACCACAGTCGAGGAGCAACAACAGCAAAGCGATTATCTATCGTTGTCAGGCTTGACCTTGGACCAGCCAGAAGTCCCTGCTCTGAAGATCTGAGCCTCCTCCCAGTGGTCAACAACTCCTTTACTCCTGACAATGTACTGATCTGTAAAATAAGAAATCAATCATAAGGGGTGAGAGAGGCTAAAACTGCAGTCATATGATGTTGTTGTAATCTTCTGTTGCTATTAAAAGCCTCCAGCAAAGATATGGACTAGCTGATGTTAAGTTAATTTAGAAAAGCAACTTTAGGGGAACAACAAGACAAAAATTAACAATCTTTTTCTATATTCTGACCCCTTTTGGTGACCCTGGCCCCAGATTAGGAACCACTGCTGTAGGTGACACACAATTGTAGGGGGAAAGGCTATTTCCTCTCAGTGAATTATGGCATGTAATAGTTTTCACTGTGTACATCTCAGTTGCTAGCATTTTACATATTTCTCACATGATTTATCTTGTGCTCTGGGTTCATGTGGAATGTTGCCTATTTAGCCCAATCATTCATCTTAATTACAAATGTTTTGATTAGCAATTAATACCTCGCCTGTAAAACTGCAACTAATGACTTTTTCATTATCAGTTAATCTGTCAATTGTTCAATTAACCTTTTTCTATGTCAAAACATTGTGAAAAATGCTCATCACAACTTCCAAGAATCCAAACTGATGTTTTCAGATGTATTGTTTTGTCTGCCAAAAGTCCATAACCTCAAGGTATTCAATTTCCTAGCATAAAAAATAGAACAAAGCAGAAAACATTTAAGAAGCAGGTACTAGTCAAGTTTTGGCTTTTCTGCCAAAAAAAAGTTACTCAAACTGTTACCTATTTATCAAATTAGCTGCAGAAATAAAAGGTCACCGCTTATTTGTATAAATGGCTGTTGCGCAGTCATAAAAAATGATTTATATACTTCAAACACTAATATTTCTGGACCATAAATCAACAGCCATTCTGGTCCATTTCCTTTGGATAGACTATAAATTGTACTATATTCTAATTCTTATAATTTTCTAGGCTTCTACGTAACCAGTCTTGAAGAGCTACAGGTCATCATAATGACTTATTTCAAAACCTAAGCAGATGCTGTTAAAATGTTTAAATGCATTTCCAAATGTTATACTGGAATCTGAGACTGTTCTCTCTTCATAGGATAAAAGTAAACTAAATAAAATAAAATGACACTCCACTCCTCTTATACAAGTCTCCGCTGATTTATGGTGCTTAGGGCCTTTCTCTGCTCAAAATGCTGTTACATAAGGACCTCAGTACCAAAACACTGATGCACTGGGAGCACAGTTAGTGGAATGTTCAGAGGTTGTCTTTACCTGTTCACTTAAAGCAGGTTGCATAGTAACACAACTGTTTTTCTGAAGCATGCCTTTTCTTTCATTGTATGCTTCAGGCATCAGTCATACAGACATAATAATGATGATGGTAACCACATAATCACCACATGTTGTCAGACAAAATGAAGGATAAGTGGTACTATATAGGAAATCTTGATAATATATGGCAGGACTTTATAACATTTATCCAAAGGTGGGGGGTGGAGAGGGATACTTTATCAAAGGGAAATGCATAAATGTGGCCCCTTAAAGAGCCCATGGCATGCTTTTCCTTATCTACAATGGCAAATTATAATCTTAAATGTGACCTAAAATTCAAAACAATTAGGCATATGTTCCAGTACTTCTATGCAGAAGCCACTCAGTTTATACAAGTCTTGCAAACTCTTGCTCACAAGACTTTTTTTTTTTTTTTTTTTTTTTTTAACAACAATGTAAAGTCTTATGTGATAAAAGTTACATTTCTCAACTGCATATGGTTTTTGTGGATATATTTGCCCTCCTGCTGCTGCACTGTGACCAGAGGATGTGGAGGAAAATACAAGGCCTGAGGTTACTGCATGTCCGAGAACACTCCTGTACAGGGACTGGCTGTTTTACCTGACTGGGTCTAACCTACAAGGTGGAATTAGTTTCACTACTTCAGGACTGTATGTGGTCATGTGGGGGAAGACGCAGCGACCACTGAATGGATTTACCAACCTCTGAGCTACTTGAAAGGGAGTGATGTTTCCACCACTCGGTGGGACTTAACGGTAACTTTTAAAAACCCACACATTTTGCATGTTTGTTAATGCGCTGTTTCTGTAGAGAATTGTTGTAAGGCTGAAGAAGTTACTGCATTATGCCAGTTAAAATATGGGGTTTCTCAATTACCCACTTTGTTTAGAGTGTGACACATCTCTTTCCATCAAAACATATACCATTGTTTACCTATCTATGGAGGAAAAATTCAAATTAATTAATGCCATTGTGGTTTGTTGTGCTGTCCACTTTCATATTCTGGCTTGAACACGTCAGGTAGGATTTGAGTTATTGTCATTGTTATACCTTATTTCTCAATGTGTTTTTGTTTATGCGTTGTCCTGGCACCCTGACCAGTCTTGTACGAAAAGTGTTCCCCTACAGATGTGTTTCCCCTGTTCAAAATGCAGTTTCATCAGTGGTTGTGGTTAGGATAATGTTAGGATTCAGGCTGGGGGAAACACATCTTGATGCAGAAACAAATTTCGTCAACACTGGTAGCAGACGTTGTGTGTGTGTGTGTGTGTGTTCATGAATTATCCTCTCATTTTCATGTAGAGGCTCTCTAGTTTTATAGTTTTGAAATAATTACAGACTGTTTGGAGGTATGCTGGATACAAAGCTAATCCAGAGGTACCCAAGATTAAATATTAAATGGCTGGAAATGAGCCAAATGAGCAGCCATGGGGGACTTTAAGTATAGTACTTGAGTCAACCTAATGGCTTTCCATTATTGGTTACTTGTGTGGACATTAGGGTGTGTTTGTTTTTCTCAAATTGAATTTAACAAAAAAAAAAATCATAGAAGATTTGTTAAAATAATTTTTAGCGATGCAAATTAATTACATTTTAGCAATGTAAGTGAAGTACAACACGACTTCTAGCACAGGCCCAATCAGCTGCATGTATTACTTCATTAATTTTGATGCTACATTACGGATATTTCAGAGTTTACGAGTTTTGAACAGGTAGCCTACAGCAGGGCTTAGCCTACATTATTCATCTGTAAGAGTCAAAGCCAAACGCAACCCATACTTAATCAGGACACAACACAAAACTCCACAACTAATGTCACAAAGAAAATACAGTACAAAATAAGAAACATATATTACCTAAACGACGTTCTTCCAGAATTTTAGAGGAAATCATCGATCAAGTCCAAGTCCAACTCCTGGACGAGTTCAGCTCAGTGACCATGAACGACAGCATGTGCAGCTGTTTGTGTCATCCCTGTCCTAGCTAGTTAGCTCGCTTTGTGTTTAAAGTTACATTCTCAGTAGAAATACTTCCCTACAGTCTACTATCCACTAGAAATAGTTTTGATCTGCCTTCCGATGCACTTGCTTCTTCGGCCGCTGGCGTTGTTTGCTTCCACAGGAGATTTAAGAGTATGAGCAGTTAGCGCCAGCATTAGCATCCACCGGTAGCTTGGGCTAACGTTAGCGTTAGCAGGAAGTTAACACTAACACTACCGTCACCTTCCACGTATTATTAGTAAAAACTACTCAAAATGGAAACAATTTGCCGAAACGAAACATTAGCTTCCTTTTTTTTTTAAAAAAAATTCCCTACCTACATTCGCCGATTACATTGACACATTTGACATTTGACATTTGCCCTTACGTCTTTACAACTTATTACTGCCTTTCAAAATAACCTCATAATTTTACTATACTAAAATGGCATTTACTCCATGATAGGAAAATGTAAATATTTTAACATGTTAAAAAACAACTTTATTACAAAAAATAAAATCTTAAAGCCAAAGGCACCCATTAGTCCGAAGCTCATGCGCATGCCCAGTTTGGCCATTTGTCTATGACATCCATGGTACAGACTGAAATATCTCAACAACTACTGGATGGGCTGGCATGGGATTTTGTACAGAAATGCATGGTTTCCAAAGGATGAATTCTAAAATCACCACTGATCTCCACATGTTAATGACAAGGCTCCATTGTATCTTAAAGACCTAGTAGAGCCTTATCATCCTAACAGAGCACTTTGCTCTCAGAGTGTAGGTTTACTTGTGGTTCCTAGAGTCCATAGAAGTAGAACAGGAGGCAGAGCCTTTAGCTATCAAGCTCCTCTCCTATGGAACCAACTCCCAGTCTCAGTTCGGGAGACGGACACCCTCTCTACCTTTAAGATTAGACTTAAGACGTTCCTTTTTGATAAAGCTTATAGTTAGGGCTGGATCAGGTGACCCTGAGCCTTCCCTTAGTTATGCTGCTATAGGCCTAGGCTGCTGGGGGGCCCCATGATGCTCTGAGTTTCTCTCCCCTCTCCTCTCCTCTACTCTCTCCCTATGCTTCTATATGCCACCATTACACATTACCAACATTACATTTGTGTCTCCTTTCTCCCGTAGTGTGTCCTCTCTCTCTCCCTGTACCTTTCTACAGGTTGCCCTGGCCCTGGAGCTCTATGTCTCTGATGAGCAGTTTAAAGGGAGTTTTTCCTCCCCACTGTCGCCAAGTGCTTGCTCAAGGGGGATTTGTTGGGTTTTCCCTATGTAATAATATTGATAACAGTAAGGTCTAGACCTTACTTTGTAAAGTGTCCTGAGATGACTTTTGTTGTGATTTGGCGCTATACAAATAAAATTTGATTTGATTTGATTAGATGTTTCTAGCATGAGGGTCAAATTTGTGGTTCTCAGTGAAATGTGTCAACAACTATTGGATAGATGGCCACGGAAGTTGGAAATGTTCTGCTCAAATATCCCAGACTTGTCATCTAGCTCTATAATATTTTAATTTGTATAATACACTGGTTTTTGACCAAATACATGGAAAACTAAAACATTCCCATCTGCCTCAGGTATAGCTATTTTGTGTTTCTTGCTAATTAATGAATGTTAGCAGACTAACACACAAAACTAAGATCAACATAGTAAATATTACACCTGCAACAGCAGTTAGATCAAAGCACCACAGTGCCTAAAGCCTCGAAGCTGTAAGCATGGTTGTACAACTGGTTGATTCGTCTCGAGGTGCTAATGGTGAATATTAACATACTTTTTTCTCTACTGAATGCAAATGACACACTGTAGAAGTGCATTACTTCAGACCAGGTGGAAGTTGTTGTAAAATGATACCACTTTGTTACAGCAGCTCCTGGATTTCAGTAGACTTAGACAACTTTCAAGCCTGTACAAGTCATGATTTCAGAATACCAAGCACCTGATATGCATTGTTAAAAAGTAAAAGACCAGAAATTTACCCCTTATGTCATTACTCAAGCTCCTTTAAAAAAAAAAAAAAAAAAAAAAAAAAAAAAAAAAGTCTTGGGCCTAGAGAACAAATTACACTACACTCATTGCTCTTCTTCACATAGTGGGTTCTGGCGTTCTAACCCACTGTGCATTAAAAGGGAGTGCTAAACTTAGGCTACTGCTTGAGACGCCACATATTTAAGACCTGTTATCACCTGTGAGCTGCTTCATGTTTACAAAAGGCTGATCTGTGAATGAGTCATACAGATTTATTCGACATGGAAAGTTTTGGCAACACTTTAAGGACAATCATGTCAGAGAGGATTAAGTTCAGAGGGTAATACTGACAAAAGACCGTGATGAAAATATTTAAAATGAGAATTTACGGAATGCTGTGATGAAGAAGGGGGAGTGGCTGAGGAGCATTGTTTTTATACCAGTGAACAGAGGTAAAAATATATCTAAATCTTATTATATTATTCCTTATGAGCAGCTTTGCTAAACAGAAAAGGCCACATAAAGAATAATAAACAATTTCGGTATAATATTTATATGCTCTCCCATAAAGAACTTCTGATGATTCTTTATTCATGTCATTTTTTTTTTCCTTACAAGGAATCAAGTCATTTTCTAAGAGGGCCGGGGAAGTAAAAATCACTGCAACGTGACTATTTCTTCCAAGAAGCATTTACAAGAAGCTTGCCCTTCCAGGAATGAAATGTTGTATAAATAAAGTAAGATTAGTCCCGCAATGAGTAAGCAGTCTAAACTTCACTTAATATATAAATAAATAAATAAATTACTCGTGGTTCCACACATTCATATTATGTCGCACATGAAATCAGACCAATCATTTATCAGTAACTCAGACAACAGTGTTAGCTATTTGTCATTAGCGCTGGTTTCACTGTTATTGTTGCTGAAAGTTTGTATTTGTAGAGTCACAAGTGCAATTTCTCTTCTGCTCATGTACCATCTACAGTGCATTCTTATACTCTGCTGCATAGCAGGCAACTGCCCTGGAGCCTCAGACTTTTAGGGGCCCAGAAGTCACATAATCATTGTGTGTTAGTTGGTTTGTGGAAATGTGATTAACTGTAAACTTACTTGGGGATATTACTCGCTAAAATAAAGTATCTAATGAATTGATAATGACTTTAAAGAGCAATTCAGCATGATGTTTTCACTTGAACACTCCCTTCATATATAAAAAAAAACATGCATCCAAACCGAGGACCCCACACTGGAATTCATATGGTGCATATCTTATAATTTACTAAAAACAGGAGCTCTACAGGGATCCACAGTTAATTTTAGCCCCACATGATCCAGACGGTTATTCCAATGCAGTCTCATTACAGGGGCCAAAATTTGACTGGCCCTACATGTATTGTGTGTGTGAATTGAGCTACCCAAGACTAAGAAGTGGCTCCACCTTGACATGCAGCAATCATTATTCTTTTCCTATTGTTTATATTTCATTTATTCATCAGTGACACTTGACTATGACCTACAGTAACCCCAGTTAGTTTTTTCCTTAATTGTCATTCTCCCATTACTCCACAGGGGGAAGCTGTGATGTGAATAAGCTCCAGTGTCTTTCCAATACTACTACTTATTTGTAAATATTATATTATATAACGTTTTTCCTCATTACAGGTCGGAAGTTTCAGCCTTCAGACCCAACAGGGTCTCTGCACATCTTAGTCTTGAAATGTGCGAAGTTTGAGAAGCTCACTCTACTCAGCATTACATATGAAGAAATGACATCTCTACAAACTTAAGTACAAGTAATTAATTAATAATAATAAAGCAAAGTGTGCAGAGCCCTCTTTTCTTAACATGTTATGTAAGACAGTGAGCCAAGTTAAACACTGATTTAGATTTTAAAATCTGCTGTGCCAACTACAAAATGCTCTCTGTGGAATTTAACTTCTTTTTCCTCATGTAACTCTCCTTTGTTACTTACATTAAAAAGTCTAGAAATCAAAGACATTTGCTGGTACGCTGAATAATGTTTATAGTGTTTATAATGTTTATGTTGAATGTTTATCACAAGTGTCTATTTGATACTTTATTTAGGATTTGGCTTGGTTTTATCTGAACAACTGGGACAAACAAAAGAAGAAGGATTGTAGAAATAAAATGACTAAAATAAACTGAGAAAAATGTGCTTCAGTTTGATGTAAAGTGTTTTAAACAAATTATTATAATACAACTAATAAAATCCATTCTCACCACAATACTATCTATGCATGTGGTGGAGGAGGAGGAGGCAGAGCCTGTTTGCTGGAGCAAGTACACTGATGTGCAGGATCATCGCTTCTCCAGCCCTGCAGCTCTACACCTTGCAATACTTTTCCCTCCCCTCCTTCTAATCCCCCAATTCCATCGCTGCCAGTGATCACTACACCGCAAAGCTCCAACAAACACCCACCAACACTGAAAAATAAACAGTCTGACACACGCACCACACAAACCCCCACCCTCTCTGCCCCCACCTTTTTTTCTACTCAAGTCAGTAGTATTTTATCTCATTTTATCCTCAAACACCTCTTCCCTGCCCATACAGTGGAGTTCTAATATAAAGAAATCCAGTGACAGGTAGAATATTTCAAAGGTTTCAAGGTGTGGTGCATATTAATATAATGACCCAGTAGCAAAAACCAAATGTTGATTGTAAACAATCCATCCATCCATCCATTTTCCTCCGCTTATCCAGGACCGGGTCGCGGGGACAGCAGTCTAAGCAAAGACTTCCCTCTCTCCAGACACTTCCTCCAGCTCCTCCAGGGGGACGCCGAGGCGTTCCCAGGCTCCCCCATTGTAAACAATGTATCTGTGAAATGTCCAAACAGCTCTGTATAGAGGCAGCTATCAGCAGCTTCTCTACAACCACATTCACCTCAAGAGCCAAGCGAGACTGTGCAGACACTGTAAAATGCGCTGCATCAGACTGAAGGCCATCAAGACAACAAAACAGAGGATCCAATGAAATTCATATCAGCCTGCTCATAGAATTGCCATCATTCTTTCAACATTCAAGACCAAATTTGAAACAACACTGCTAAATAAACAGCCTTTGCACCTCTGATACCAAGGCCTCAGACCCTACTCAGCACAGACCAGCCAGTGAGAGAGCTCTGCTGCTGCAGCTGCACCACCTGCAGCCCATCTGGACCCCGTCAGATGAGCGATCTGTTCACCTTTCTTTTCTCCAGACTATAAATGGACACTGTTTACATGTCATAGACAACAGCCACTTATTATGAGTTGAACTGCTCATTGAATAGTTTCCTTTTGCAACACAAAATGTTCACATACATTTTTTTCCC